CGGGATCTGTGGGGCCAGATTGGGTGGCAGCGAGGAGCCATTTTGAGCGCCGTCTCGACGAACCTCATCGCAGCATCCGCCGCCAACTTTAAGGCGGGCGAAAGTTGGCTAGCTCTCCCCGCGCCGGAGCGTTCGGGGAGCCTCGTCCTTTCCAGGCTCCCCAGCTGCTGATGGACGAGGCCGGATGAGCAGCTCAGGGGGGTGGATGGATTTTGTAGCCCTTTCACCGCCGCCCCTGCCTCCTAAGCCTCGGAGATGCTCCGTTTGCCGGGGGCCACCTGGCTGTCGTGGATCTCGCTGCTGGCGCTCGCGACGGCTGGCTGGGAGCTGCACCTCCTTTGCGGCGGCGGCGGCCCGGGGCGCTTGCTCTTGGACCTGTCGCTGGGGCCGGAGTGGCTCTGCGCGCTGGACGAGACTCTGACGCCCCGCCGACTGAGGGACGCTGTGGAGGTGACGAGCGACGGGCTGCTGAGGACGACGGCGGCGCCGGTGGAGTGCGCGGGCTTGGTGGGAAATCCGCTGCCCCTCCATTTGCGCCTGGCTTCTCCCACCGGCGGCGTCCTTCTCTCGCTCCGCCCGCCGGTTTACCTGCACGGCTGGGGCGGCCCTGGCGGGTCCCACCAGCGAGCTGCCACCCGGCCACGCCTGGCCAGTGTTTCAGCCCTTCCCCTCGGGCAGCGTTTGCCCTCTCGGCTCTGCTTCCCCCCTCCCTGTGGGCAGCAGGTGCTTCCCCAAGTGGGGGAGGCAGAGGGAGAACCCCTGCTCTGGGCTCTCATGGCTCTGACAAGCTTCCCACAGTGTACATGTCCCAGCGGTCAGCCTTTGGGGGAAGTTGGGAAGAAACCACTAGACTGCCACCTTCCCCATGGGACCATCCCCCTGCAGCTTCTTTGCCGCTTGAAGAAGACCCAGGGGGATGTTCTGGTAGAGCTGGGTAGTCCTAGGCCTTGGGGAGTGAAACGGCTGGTAGGGGATAAGTTGGAGGTGAATAGAAGCAGGCAAGAGGGCTCCCCACAATTTGGGACCCGGAACAAAGGCCACTGGGATTCTGAGCCTCGAGGGCCTCGGAGGATGAGGAGTGTGAACAGTCCACCACAGTTCAAGCTGCCCAATTACCAAGTTTCAATTGCTGAGAACCAGCCTGCAGGCACAGCAGTCATCACCCTAGAAGCCCATGACCCAGATGAAGGAGAGGCAGGCCGATTAACCTATTCTATGGAGGCCTTTTTTGACAAAAGATCCAATGATTACTTCTCTGTTGATTCTGAGACGGGAGCAATAGTCACCACCCGTAAGTTGGATCGAGAGACAAAAGATACCCATGTGCTTCAGGTAACTGCAACAGACCATGGGTCCCCACGGCATCGCTCAGCAATCACCTTCCTGACTGTGACTGTAAGTGACACCAATGACCATGATCCTGTGTTTGAACAGCCAGAGTACCGAGAGAACATTAGGGAGAACCTTGAGGTAGGTTATGAAGTGCTAACAATTCGTGCCACAGATGAGGATGCTCCAGACAATGCTAATTTGCTCTATCGTATCCTAGAGCCTGGGTCTGGAGAAAGAATTTTTGAGATTGACCCATATTCTGGTGTTGTGAGAACTTGTGCCACTGTGGACAGAGAGGAAGTCTCAGAATATCATCTTGTGGTAGAAGCCAATGACCAGGGGAAAGACCCAGGTCCACGAAGTGCCACAGTTACAGTGCATATCACAGTGGAAGATGAGAATGACAATTCCCCACAATTCAGCGAGAAACGCTACTTGGTACAAATACCAGAAGACAGTCCAGTCAACAGTCAGGTATTGCAGGTACAAGCCACTGACCGAGACCGTGGCAACAATGCCCAGGTGCATTATAGTATTGTGAGTGGCAATCTGAAGGGCCAGTTTTATATCCATTCTTTTTCTGGCTCTATTGACTTGATCAATCCCCTGGACTATGAGACAATTCGAGAGTACACCCTCAGGATCAAGGCCCAAGATGGAGGACGGCCTCCACAGATCAATTCAAGTGGAATGGTGTCCATCCAAGTGTTAGATGTAAATGACAATGCCCCTATTTTTGTGAGTACCCCCTTTCAAGCCACAGTGCTAGAAAATGTCCCCATAGGATATTCAGTGTTACACATTCAGGCAGTAGATGCTGACTCTGGGGACAATGCTCGTTTGGAATACAAACTCTTTGAGCTCTCTCATCCTTCTGCCATGGCATCCCCAGGTGGGCACACCAGCTTTCCTTTCCAGATCAACAATAGTACAGGATGGATTACAGTGTCATCTGAGCTTGACCGAGAGACTACAGAGAATTACCACTTTGGGGTGGAGGCCAGAGACCATGGAGTGCCTGTCATGACTTCCTCCGCCAGTGTATCTATCACTGTCCTTGATGTCAATGATAACAGTCCTACTTTCACTGAAAAAGTCTATCAGCTCAGGCTGAATGAGGATGCAGCAGTAGGTAGCAGTGTCTTGACACTGACTGCAGTGGACAAAGATGTCAATAGTGTGGTAACCTACCAGATCACTAGTGGCAACACAAGGAATCGCTTTGCCATTACTAGTCAGAGTGCAGGTGGTCTGATTACTCTGGCCTTGCCGCTGGATTATAAGCAGGAAAGGCAGTATGTGTTGACTGTCACGGCTTCAGATGGAACTCTCTTTGATACAGTCCAAGTCTTCATCAATGTCACAGATGCCAATACACACCGACCAGTTTTCCAGAGTTCACACTATACAGTGAGTGTCAGTGAGGACAAGCCCATTGGAACATCCATTGTAACAATCAGTGCCACTGATGAAGATACTGGAGAGAATGCAAGAATTACTTACATCTTGGAAGACAGCATTCCTCAGTTCCGCATCGATCCTGACACAGGAACAATCACTACCTTGATGGAATTAGACTATGAGGATCAAGCTTCTTACACATTAGCCATCACAGCCCAGGACAATGGGATCCCTCAGAAGTCTGATACCACCTATGTGGAGATCCTCATTCTAGATGCCAATGACAATGCACCTCGTTTTCTTCGAGATCGGTACCTGGGCTCTGTTTTTGAAGATGTGCCCCTGTCCACTAGTGTTTTGCAGGTGTCAGCTGTAGACCGTGACTCAGGCCCCAATGGCCGCCTTGTTTATACCTTCCAGGGTGGGGATGATGGTGATGGAGATTTTTACATTGAAGCCACATCAGGGGTAATACGGACATTGCGCAAGCTGGATCGTGAGAATGTAGCTGTCTACAGCTTGCGGGCTTTTGCTGTGGATAGGGGTAGCCCACCTCTCAAAGCCTCTGTTGACATCCAAGTTACTGTATTGGATATCAATGATAATCCCCCTGTTTTTGAACAAGATGAATTTGACATCTTCATTGAGGAGAACAGTCCTGTTGGTTCAATTGTGGCTCGGATTAGCGCAATAGACCCTGATGAGGGAACCAATGCACAGATCATGTATCAGATTGTAGAGGGGAACATTCCCGAGGTCTTCCAGCTTGACCTTCTTAATGGTGACCTCACAGCCCTGATGGATCTGGATTATGAGAGCCAGACGGAGTATGTAATTGTGGTACAAGCTACCTCAGCCCCACTTGTAAGCCGAGCTACTGTGCACATCCGCCTCCTAGATCAAAATGACAATCCTCCTGTGTTGCATGACTTTCAGATCCTATTCAACAATTATGTCACCAACAAATCTAATAGCTTTCCTTCTGGAGTGATTGGCAAGATCCCTGCCCATGATCCTGATATATCTGACCAACTTGACTACACCTTTGTCCAGGGCAATGAATTAAACCTGTTGCTTTTGGATTCTGCTACTGGAGAACTCAAGCTCAGCCGAGATTTGGACAACAACAGACCCCTTGAGGCCATAATGAAGGTATCAGTTTCTGGTAAGTGTACATCTTTTGGAGTTTGTGATGATAGATAATGGTGGTTGCAATAACACAGGCAAACAGGAATTTCATGCACTTCTATTTTTAATTTTCTATAGCAGTGTTTCTCAACCTCAGCAATATTAAGACGTGTGGACTTCAATTCCCAGAATTCCCCAGCCAGCTTGCTTAGATAAATTATAAGATAAACGAAGTTATAATGGTTCTTTGTATTTCTGCTGGTGAGCTGTTGCCTAGGTTTAAATTATTGAAATGTTGAACGTATACTAATAATAAGTGGCTGGATTCTTCACATGTGTTCAAAGCTTAATCTCAAGCATAGTTAAACCAGTAGTATTAGGAAGTTTACCTGACTTTCTAGTTACAGATGAGTGCTAACTGCCTTTATAGGATATATATTATATATATATATATAACTGCCTTATAATTAATTGTGAATGTGTCTGTTGGAGCATATGCTTGGTAAACACCTTTCTTGTGAGACCACAATGATGCGTAATGTATCCATCTAAAAAAATTATGTCATTGAATTAATTATTTTACATGCTTAGCATTTTAAGCCCAGAGTTCATTAACGTAAATGGAGAACGTGGTAATAGTAGTATTAACAACCCTAAAGCAGACCAGGAGCAGAAGACCTGGCAGAATTCCTGCCTTTTGTATATCCGTTGCCATTATTTCCAGACACTTTTTTAGTAGGAGTAGAATACTTTAAGGGCAAATTCCATAACATCCTGTTCGATGATTAACATAGTAGGTTCTGCCCAGCCAAGATAAATCTAAATGCATTTACTGTATTAACAAGGATTAGTTTGATATTGATGTTAGTGTAGGACAAACAATGTATCGCTATCTCTAAAGTAGAAAAATCATTTCCACATACCCATTAATATGACGCTCCAAAAATGTTTGGGGGCAATATTCTGGGGGGATAGTTTTTGTACACAAATGTTAAGCATGTGCAAGCAGTTTTATAAACCCTCCTTTGAAATTAAAGGAATTTAAACATGCTTAACTTAGGCTGGATTTTACCTCCTAATAAATTTATTTTGGCATGAATTTCCATAGCCAAGACTTGCTCCACCCATTGTATTTGACTATATTAAGAGTTTAAGGAGTTTGAGAGTTTAAAAACATTTGTGTTGAGTCTGACTAAACTGGCTTTGAGTGCTTTTTCATTATTATTTTGTAAGTAACTTTGAAAAATATTCAGAAGTTAAGAATTATAGAAGCAGTCTCTGTAATTGTAATACACGTCTGGTTGCTGCATGCAAGATAGAGATATCAGTGGGTTTCCTTCATCGTGTCCTAATTGTGAATTTGCCATGCACATCAGGGTAGCTACTTTCTGGAAAATTAAATAGGACCCTATTCAGCAAGGCAGTTCATATGTGTTTAAATGTGGTCAGGTTTTGTTTCAGACGTAAACTAATAAATCCTATTTGATGATTGGTTACCATTTCTTATATTAAAATGGCTTTAAAATGTTCAAATGGCTTATATGCTGATAGATGATAAATTTTATTGTTGATTTAAATCTGAAAAACATGTAGAACATTTTGTAGAGAATAACCTGCTCTTGCATTTGGACTGTTGTTCAAACTGTGCCATTGCTCTTTATAATGATAGCATCAGTGTGGCCAAGTCTAGCCTTTTGCAGTTTCATTCTTCTGTTTTTGCAAGTCTCCCCACCAGCTGCAGCTCTTGTTGACCTTTTGAGCCTCATTGTGAACAGTATCTTGTTAGGGATGCTTTTCACTCCCGATAGTCTTTTCGCTTTTGTGCGAAATGGCTTCAGCATGTATATTAAATTTGGAAGGTGTTTTTCCTTGCCCCTTTGTGCTGAAATGTTACTCAAATTAGTCTGATTCTGTCAGCACTTAATTAGAATGTAGTGCCAAGGAGGGAAGTCATGTCAGTGCAATGTCAGTGTGTTCTGTCATACTTACACAACTAGTGAAAGTAGTGCTAACACTCACCATTAAAATGTATTACTTTTTTTAACTTATTCTTTATTTCATTAGATTTAGATGCCACCTTAAGCAGCTGGATAGCTCACAATTTAAATAAAAGAATATTCCATATACAATATGCAAAAAATCAACATCTGTCCAGATAGTATGCTAAGTATACTTGATAACTGACTGAGATTTCATTCAGAGCTTTACAAATGAATAATTGTAGTTAACAGACTAGTTACTTCTGTGTTAGGTAGAGATTTTCAGAGATAATATCTGAGTTGACTTGATTATCTTGGCTTGCAGTGACTTGCTTTTGGATTATGCCTATGGTCATAATCAAGCTGAATCAACTGATAACAGAATAATAATATCTAATGTTGAAAGATAAAGAACATGTCATAAAATAAACCTCGAACTGTACTACATGGGTTGATAAAGTTCAACGTAGAAGAGAGAATTTACGCTTGGATTTTCACTACAGTAACTCTAAAGATTCCAGTGGATGGATATACAAAGAATGCCATAATATATCTAACATTAAAAAAAAAAAAGAATTTAACATGCTAACCTTTCAAATACAGTTGTGTGTTTTTATTACTTAACACATGTGCTTAAGACTATTGTCTTCAGGTGTGTTATGTCCATAGGATTTCCCTGTGGAACTAAACTTAAATCTAAATAACCCCCTTCATTCAGGCCTAAATGAAAGGTATTTCAGACATGATAAATGACTGGATTATTTGAAGGAACAGAATGCAATTCATAATTATTTACTTCAGATACAACATGTACGCATGTTGGAATCAGTGCCTGAATTCTAACATCAAAATGAACATAAATGGAATCTATAAATGTACTAGCAACATATGTCAGTCCTCTTGTAGTGTCAGAAAAATCTTATCATTGGAGCTGATAAGCTTTTTTAGCTGTTGGGCAAATTCTGGTAGCACGTTATGAGCGCTGCTAAAAGAAAATGCTGCAATAGTGACTAATTACGGAATGAGAATTTACTGGAAGGCAATCAGTAACATTAAATTCTCTATACAGCTATGTGAAGCAGAGACATTTTTGAAAATAGATTATACTGAAAGGTGATATTAGTTGCATAGAATGCCACATTCCTATTTATGTATTTATTTATATATATATTTAAAGAAAATATACTGCTTAGAAAACAGGGTGGGAACTCTGTGTGTACAAAGACCTATATAACTGCCTATCTAGTAATGGGTCACTGGATGTGACTGTTTTGTTTTAAATCTTGTCAGCAAAGTTATATAGCAGGAGAAACTTGTATAAGTTTAGGGTTTTGTAGTATATAACATTTTATAGGTATAAGTATTATTTTTACTGTAACTGCAAATATATTATGGTGTATATTGATTGAATTGCTTCTGTGTAATTTTAACTCTAGTTGGTTTTTACTTTACTTTCACTTTTAATTGTGGCTGGATCAAGGCCTGGTCCTGGGATGGCATGTTATAAATAAACTTTTTGTTTGTTGTATCACACCCTCAGTATAAACTTGAAGAGGTAATATTGCCAGGAAATTTTAAATCGCAATATATTGAACATTTTAGACTAGTTAGTTGTAAAGTGGATGTTACCTATATCTGTAAAAAGCATTAATTATAAGAGAGATACTGAAACTGAATAACATTAATGCATTGGATGAGATTTGGCCACTAGATCAAAAGTTTCATCAAGCTGAAACTTGCTCGGTACTTAAAGGGAGAAATATTTAAAATACTTTTATCACAAGAGAGTTTTCTATGATATTGTTGCAATAATTAAAAATGTAGCCAATTTATGAGGAAATTACTGAAGGAACAAACAGGCTGGAAGCTAAAATAATTTTAAAAGTTTAACATCATAATTACAGTTCATATTCATTTGTAATATTTTAAATATTCTTGTAATACTTTGTTTCCTTACTTGTTCCTTGATTTTGATGGAGGAACACATTGGGACTCAGCTATCTGCAAGGAAAAAACACCAAGCAGCTGTTTGTTGGAATTGTAGTAGAACTTTGAAAATGGTACTGTAAGCGATAAATGAAATGTTATGTGTCTACAGTATTTAGCAGATAATATATTTCTAATTATGTTAGATATAGAGCAGTGTTGTCCAAACTTGGCCACTTTAAGATGAGTGGACTTCAACTCCCAGAA